TACCCTAGCAAGGGTAGTTTCAGTACTGAGACACCCCAAGGGTACTCAGTCCTTCTTTTCTAAGCTGGAGAGAGCAATCATATATATACAGTGACCCCTAATGGTTAGAGTCAGAACAAGTTAACTGAGTATAACAATCCTATCTGTCAACTAGACGGTTTTAGTTGAAGTGCTTAGGGGACTGTCCAGCATGCTGAGGCCCAGATCTACAGCAGGGCTTCACCACGACCGCTTCCAGCATCCCTGCAGTGAATTCACAACCCCCAGTTACGTCTTCCTCACGCAGAGCACAAAGACAGCTCTGTGACTCACAGAAGGATTTGCGGGAGCCAAAAGACCAAGGAACCGAGCAAGCCAGCAGCGAGAAAGTGTTAGAAGGACTCCTGGGATGTGGGAGACCAATTTCTCCCTTTGGATGGGGGGAACTAGGCCAGTGCCTGCTTTGCAAAGATGGCTACAACCAGAGCAGAGAACGCCGCTGGGATGTTCTTCTTGACGCGTTTGCTGAGGAAGCAGGAGGACCGGAGACATAATTGCTCTGAGGGGGTCTGAGGTTACACCTTGTATTTCCAGAAACATGCCCACCATCAGGAAAGGCGTCATTTTAGGTGGAGATACCCTCTGCAGTTCCTTCCTACTTCTGAATGGCATAGCCGAGGACCAGGTCAGCAGGGAAAGAAGGCAGAGCAGTCCTGACTCAGCACTTCAAGAAGGGAAGATGCCTTGGATCCAGTCTCTGCTCCAGGGACTGCATTTTTCATTCATGATAAATGGCATTGGGGTCTTAGTTCAAGCAAAGTACAGGAGACAATGCTGATGTTAGATAATTATTGCATAATTTATAATGTGAGAAATCTTAAAGTAAAAAACACTTGTTCACGAGTATCAACAAATTTCATGCAAGAAACATACAGCTTTAAGCCAGAGTCATCAAGACAAGTGTTCTCAATTTAGTTTAAATTAATAGTAAATAAGTAATAGGATAATACATCCATGTAACAAACCTGTATTTCTAACTGCTGAA